GAGTCAATATTGTTCTTACTGAAGACATTCACAATATGAAACTCAGCTTATCTGGAATCTAGGAGATCAGAGCTATATGTTCTTTAATATTTTTAGAGAGAACTAATGGTTTACAGCTCAGGCTTTGGTGTCAGAGACCTTAAGTTCTTGTTTCTGTTCTGTCACTGTCAAGTTGCATAACTGAGTAGTCTGTTTCTTTTACTATAAAATGCTGATGGTAGTAACTCCTCTAGCATAGAGCTGTTAGAAAGGTTAAATAAGTCTGTGTAAAGCTTCTGGCACAGAATAAGTGGTCAGAAGGAATGTTAATAAGAATTTCTATTTTTATTATTGATAGTAATCATCCTCTTTAGCTAACAGCCTTTAAGGTGGTAAAATCATCTGGCATTATGGAAATTTTAAGTGAATGATTTGTCAATAAAGTTCCAACATTTAAATTTCTTCCTGTTTAAGTATTTTGACTGAAGTTTATTAGCTCATTGTGAAATCTTATACAGAGGAAAAGACAGCTACAGATTGCAAGATACAAATCCTACTAGCTCACTCATATATTTAACATACAGGGATCTGAGTGTATTATTGTTATCAACGTATATGACGTAATTCCAGGGAATTATGACTTATTTGAGGCAAGAACCAAATCTTACTGAATACTTCTCAGCATACCTTAATAAATATTTAATGGAATAAATACATAGCCTTCTGTTTTCTTAACTAAAAAGTGAGGAAGTTGGACTCTCAATATTTTTTCATTGGAGAAAGATTGAGGATTAGGAAAATTAAAATGGGAGTTCTGCAACTGACAGAAATAAAAGACTCTCCAACTTGTCATGTGTGTCAAGTGTTTCAAGTTCTCCCTTCCTTTCTTTATTACCAAGGCTAGAATTTGTAGCCATTTCAAATAATGTTAAAATTGACCTTAAATAGTTGAGGCAGAGTACCATTGTGGTTTTACTCTAGCATTCATACATATACTACTTGTGTAAGAGAATGTTCTTTAATGTTGCATGTACTTTTACATTACTTCCAAAGTAGAAAAAAAGCTTTCCTATTTTAAAATTGTTTTGTAGCTTTTCTTCCTTGAACAGTAATTTCTGTTTTGTTTTGTTTTGTTTTTTTGTTTTGTTTTTTTTGTTTTTTTCCGGTACCAGGAATCAAACTCATGACTTTGTGCTTGCCAGGCAGGCGCTGTGCCACTGAGCTAAATCCCCAGCCCCTGAACAGTAATTTCTGAGATCCATCCTTAAGTGGATAAATACATTAAAATGTTTATATGTAGCCATAAGTTTAAATTAATTACTTTTAAGGTAAATTTTTAGTAGTAGTGTCTTTATTGAATACATAGCTTATATATTATATATAATTAATACATAGCTTATATATTATATATAATATTATATATAAAAATACATTTCTATATTATTTATGACAGTTTTTTGGGGGGCATCTCACAGTAAAGACCTTTACTGCAAGAATGTAATTTAAAGCTAATTACTTCATAATTTTCTTCTGTCATTTAATTGTGAATTGGATACTTAGAATTTTCAGTGCCTTTCTTTCTTTTTTTTCTTGTTTAACTAGTCTCACTGTAGTTCAGGCTGGCCTTGAACTCACTACATAGCACAGGCTGGCCTCAAACTGAGAGCAATCCTTCTGCCTCAACCTCCCAAATGCTGGGATGAGAGGCATGTGCCACCAGGCCCAGCACATGAAGTGCCCATTTTTTAAAGGTTAAATATAATATGGGGGATGCAAAAAATTCAAACGAAGTCTTCAAATAGTACAGAAAAGAGTGTTTAATGAAAAATTAATATTCTGTTTTACATAGTCAATTGCTGTTGATAACATGCTGTGTAATTTCTGTAAGATACCTTTTCAAAGATCTAGGGCTAATTTTTTAAACTATAGCAAGAGTGCATTTATCACCAGTAGTAAAATACTAAATGTAAATATTAATAAACTAATATGTGATTTATGAAACTATTCTGCATATTCTATGTTCACACCATTTATAATGGATTTAGTTCTCAAACTTGATAAAGTAATGAACAAGTTTTACTGGCTTGTCAACTATGATGAAAGTTCCTAGTCATTAGTTTCTGAGTTATAGAGTGAATTACTAAGAAGTTACACAATAAGCATCCTGGCATTAGCACTTTGTGGTTAAAAGTATTGTACTTCATATTAGAAAATGGTAGCTTCCTTGATGATTCTTTTTCTCTTTGGGATAGGATTTCACTTGCTTTTGCTTTTTTGTGAGATGGGATCGCATTGTGTTGCCCAGGTTGGTCTTTAACTACTGGCTTCAAGTGATCCTCATGCCTGAGCTTCCTAAGTAAGTTGTTAGGACTTCAGGTGTGTGCTATCAGACCTATTGGTATTTTTCTCTAAACTTTTCATCTTTGTATGTTAGTACATTTGAAAGACAGGAGGTATTTGTTTGTCCTGGATAAGAATTGTGGCTGAATCTAAAGAAGCTTACTTACCTTGAAGCTGTAGTGCAACCTCTTAATTGTCTTAAGGTGCTAGTACATTTTACTTACAAAATATGTTACAGCTTAGTTCAAAGAAAAAATTATTTTCCATAAACAATATTTTCCTGACAAGTTGGATTTTAATACATTAAGAGATTTATTTTCTGTGATATTATGATTATCTTAAAAGGTTAGATTTTTTCCTATAAAGTTGTTGGCTTGGAACAAAATTTCTTGAAAATACTTTTCAGTGGCCATAATAAGAGCAAGTTGAAAATTAAATGGAGGGAGGGAGGGAGGAGGGAAAGGAGGGAAAAGGATGGAAAAGAAAGATTTAAGATGTGTTATGTGCATGTAGTAACTGCCCATGAGGAATGTAATCATTGTATAATGCAAACATGTCCTAAAAAAATAAAAACCCATTTAAAGTGTATGATTCAGTGTTTTTTAGTATATTTATAGAGTGTACAACAGTCACTTAAATCTGCTTTCAGAGATAATAGTCATAACCTCAGAAACAAATCTTTTGCCTAGTAGCAGACACCACATGTATCTCTATACCCATGTCCTAGGAAGTGATTAACCTGTTTTCTAGGCTTATAGGTTTGCCCTATCTCTACATTTTAAATAAGTAGAAATCACACAACATGCAGTTCTCTTGTGACTGGAATTTTTATAACATGTATCATCACTATCACTTTTTGTTCATAACATTCTACTGTATAGATGAATAATACATTTTAGTTCTCCATTGATCAGTAGATAGACACTTGGTTCTTTCTATATTTTTGCCATCGTAAATAATGTTACTGTAAACAATCATGTACAGGATTGTGTGTGACTACGTATTTTCATTTCTGCTAAGTAAGTGGAATTGGTGGGTCCTATAGTAGTAGCCTGTTAGCCTTTTCAGGAACTGCCAGACTGATTTCCAAAGTGACTGTACAATTTTACGTCCTCACCATCTTGATGTGAAGATTGCAGATTCCCCATATCTTGCCTACGTTTGTGTTATCTTTTATTAAAGTGTACAATTTGATAGTTTTTAATGTATTTACAAAATGGTGCAAAACTGTTACCACTTTCTGATTCCAAGATCTTTAATTTCTTTCATTAATGTTCTACAATTATCATTGTCTTAAGTTTTACATTTTTGTTACTTTTATTACATGTTTTATTTTTGATATTATTGGAAATGAAATTGTTTTCTTAGCCTTACTTTTGAAATGTTAATTGCTATTGTATAATCTGTTTTTTTTTTTTTTGGTTTTTTCTCCGGTACCGGGAACCGAACTCACAACCTTGCGCTTGCCAGGCAGGCGCTTTGCCCTTGAGCTAAATCCCCAGCCCACTATTGTATAATCTGATTTTTGTGTAAACAATAGTTTACTTTCCAGTCTGGATGCCTTTGCATTCATTGGTTTTTTAAAATGAGAATCGGCTGTTGTACTAATCATTATTCTCCTATATGAATGTTTTGTTTTTCTTGGTCTGCCTTTTATGTTTTCTATTCACTTTTGGTTTTCAGCAACTTGATCATAATATGCCTAAGTTTCTGCAGTCTTTATCTCCACCTCTTGTCTCACCTACGTTGACTCCCGTTTTTTTTTTTTTTTTTTTTTTTTTTTTTCTTTTTTTTTTTTTTGGTACCAGGAACTGAACTCAGGACCACTGAGCTATATCCCTAGCCTGACTCCAATTTCTACATGTTGTTTTCTTACTGACCTACAGATTCTTGTGGCTGTGTTAATTTTCTTTTCAATCTTTTTTCCTCTTTAATCTTCAGATTAAATAATTTTTATTCATTTACATGGTCGCTATTCTTTCCTCCATCATCTTCATTCCTTTACAAGACTCTACAAGTAGATTTTTAATTTCAGACATTTAGTTCTCTGTTCTAGAATTTCTATTGGTATTTTTTACGCTGCACTTTTCTGCTAAGATTTTCTCTCTTTTAACTCACACTTTACATATATTACTTCACTTCACAATATTGTTATAATATCTGTTTTAAAATTTTAGTGTACTGATTCCTGTATGTAGTTTATCTTTGTATTAGTCCTAATTTGTTTTCTTTTGACACTGGATCACATTTTATTGATTTTTTTTTTTTTAATGTATCAAGTAATTTTGTATTGTATGATAGACAATACGTATCTTAAGTTGTGAAGACTAGAGGGTTTTATGTTTTCAGATTGTTTCCTTCTTTATTATATAATTATTTCATTCAAACTGAATCTGCAAAGTTTGCCCTTCTGGCCGTTCAAATTTATGTTCTATTGTTTTGTCTTTGGGCTTTTTGCTGTATGCCCTGTGTGTGGATTGTGTGGCAGTCAGTCAGAGATTTGGGCAGGGAAACTTGGTTACTCTATGTAGTTTAACTGATCTGAGCATCTTTATCTTTTTTGTTTAATCCTAGAACTTAAATTCATGGTTTTATTAACCTGAAATATCGATAAATTCTTGAATTCTAATCATTTGAAAAAAATTAAAATCTGCTTATTGTTATTTTTGTCTTTATTATAGATCGAGCTGGAAGCATCAGTACTCTTGATTCTTTAGACTTTGCAAGATATTCAGATGATGGTAACAGGGAAACAGATGAGAAAGTGGCAGGTAAGACTATAAAGACAGAATTGGATTTTTGACTTTCCAGAAATAATAAAATGACTTGAAGAATTTTCTTCCTTCTACAATATGGTATGTTAATATAATGTATGTAGTTATTATATAAAGTTCTGTTACTAATTACTAATTTATTATAAGTTTGAGGTTCTTGCAGTAATAACTTTCCCATTCCAGTGGTGATAAGAGTTGATGGATTTCTGTGTGTGTGTGTGTGTGTGTGTGTGTGTGTGTGTGTATCTATCCCTGCATATAGCTGGCAGTTTACAGTGAAACAGGTGTAAAACTGGTATAAAACAGGCGTAAATTAGCTCTTGTCACTTTGTTGTACAAAGTTAGTTGGATATCAGCTTCATTTTTTTGGTCCTCCAAACCAGGGATGATATTCAGGTATGTGTATCGCCATATCTCTGTTCTTGAAAACTGATTAAAATAGTTTTACTCTGTTTTGTTGTTGTTGTTTGTTTTATTTTGCATTGGGAATTGAACTCAGGGCCTTGCATTTGCCAGGCAAGCACTGTGTCCCGGAGCTACATCCTCAGCCCAGTAGTTTCATTTTGGATGGTGAATAAAACTTTGCCTGGAGTTCCTTTGGTGCTTCCCAACTATTATAACATGTCTTTAGACTCTTTTCTGACTTTCCTGTGATCCATAAAATAGAGAGTCGATTTTTGATATAGAGAGGTGCTTAAGGACTTGCCCCATTCCAGTAAGAAGGAAACACCGTTTCAAATTTTTTGGCTGTTCATTCCAATCTCCTTCCCCTTCTCATATCCCTTCTTCTCCACCTGTCCTGTCTTCTAGATACCACCACTGACTTTGGAGGGCTACTGTGTGCCCTGTATTCTGCCTATACCAGATCAGACAGTGGGAGTGGGTTTCACCCTGGAATTTGCCAGTGTAGAAGCTTTGGTACCTAAAGTGTAAATATCTGATACCTTCCTTACACCTCTAGGCTATGACTTCCTCCCTTGAAGTCATTCTTGATTGTGTTCCAGGGATTTTAGTTTTCATAGGACTTTGGCCTGGAGAGAGACTAGAAGAACAGATCTCACTTAAATATTTTGAGCTACATTGGAATGTGGCCACACCTGAAACAGGAGGTATGCCATATGAGCCTACAAGGCAATATAAGGTCAGAAAATGTCCGTAATACGGATTCTTCTCTATTGAATTTTTTTTCCCAAAGTTCCTTAAAGCTTACCAAATGTTACAGCCATTATGAATAAGCATGGGTACTGATTCTTATATGACACTTCATATGCCTCATTCTAAACCGTCTAATATTAATTCACTGAATGACAGCATTATTATCATCCTCTCCTCCTCAGGAAACAACCCTTCAGAGAAATTATGTACAACCTCAGAATCAAAACCAGGTTCAAATCCAGAAAGCCTAGCAACAGAGCCCATAATTGACCATACCATATGTTACCCCTTGCCATGAGGGATTAGATTTGACTTAATTAAAAATGATAGTTTTCTTCCTTGCTCAAGAATAGAGATGATAAATATTTTAAAATCTTAGACAATGTTATACAAATTAAGAAAAAAATTTGATTGTCTTATTTAGCAAAAGTACTATAACTGTTCAGCATTATAAACAATTGATAACTGTATCTACCCAACAAATCACATCAATAATATCTAAAAATCAGCATATCAAATTAAGTTATTCGAATAATTTCAGGATTAATTTAGCCTTTTAACTGTATCACTTATCAGATAACAGTGTTATATAATTAGGTGTTACGTAGTTTTGTTACATTATTAAACATACGTTTAATTTATTTACAGGTTAAATAGATAAAGTTGTATATGTTTTATTGTATATACTGTTACATATTAGAAAAAATTATTTCACAGAAATTGGCCATATAATTATATTCCTTTTAATTTCCATTTGAAAATGTAAGTTTTAGGTTGAGTCAAACTGAAAAGATTCATGATTCTCATTATTTAGTTATTTTAGTAGTTCTAATTAGGAGAAGGAATTATTGATGTAAAAGCAAATGTGAGAATCTTGCATGACACCACTACACCTGCGGCGCTGTAAAAGCAAATGTTTAGCTTAAATTTGTACAATTGGAACAGTCTCTACTTACGATATTGTAGGCAGAAAAGAAAAGAGAACAGAAATACCTCTGACCAAATTTTGCTGTGTATATAACATTTTTATTTTCTCCTTTTTTAAAAATTAGAACTTTTAGTAAAAAGATTAATAATCTTGCATCTAAATACTTTCTGATAGTGAACAAGGAGCAGTGTATCTGCTTAGCCCACATACTTATACAACTAAGAGTAGAATGTATTAAATATGTGATAGTTTTAACCTTACATTTTTAATCCAAAGGATATACTATAATTCTAAGTTTGGAGAAATACAGTAATTTTTCATTATTATACTTTACTCTCATATAAATAAATGAGTTCATCTTCCTTAGAAAAGGAAGAAAATGTTATCTCAAGAAAAAAGTTTTCAGTCTTTTAATCTTGTGCTATAAGATCAGTAAAAGACTGAAAACTAGATGTTATCAAACTAGATGTTTAGATATATGTGGAAGAGACTTTGCTTGGCAAAGTAAAAAAGCTTATTTAAAAGCTTATAAAAAGACCAATAATTCATGAAAGACCCTATTCTGTCATCTGTCATTGGGTGATATGGTAAACCTCACAAAGAATGAAGAAGCATTCAAGAAAGAAAAAATAATTTAATTTTCTGTGACAGTGTGGGTTGGAAGTATAGATAACACAGGTAACCCACATATAGGGTTATGATAACACAGGCAGTTGATTGCCCCACCAGGCAAATGTAGGGTTCGGTGTTTTTCAGTCTTTAATCAGCTGTTGATATTTATGAAATAGATTCTACATTTGTTTTCAACATCAGTCTCATTACCTTTCTTCTAAATTTAAAAATTAGTTATTTTCTCAAGCCTGGACAGATTTTTCTTTCAAAAAGGAAGCAAATGAGCAAATATTTATAGAGTACTTTTCCCTGCCAGCCAGTATGCTAAGTACTTTCAATAAAGTATTTAATTCTGTTAACAGTCCTATAAAATAGGTAATAAAATCCATATTTTTAAAATTAGAAAACTGAAGCTTATCAAGGTTGATGCATAGGATTTTGAATACATAGGATTTTTTATTTCAAGCCCACAATATGTCTTTTAGTATAAGGCTATACCTCTGACCCATCTATATTTTTTTGTGGTGAGCAGAATCTTATTTTTCCCATAAAAAAGTCTTAACACTGTCAGTTGCTTCTCAAATAACTAATCATGTAAAAGCTTTGTACTTTTTACTGTAGATATTTTCTATTTCTTGATTTATTTTTTGTATGAAATATACATTTTTCACATAAAGATGAGTTAAATAATAAGACATCAGATAAAATAAGTCTGAATGTATTTTTATTTCTTCATTAAAAGTCCTAAAGTCTTGTTATCTTCCTTGAAGATAACAAGAGACATCCATACCCTAAATATTGGCATTGCCATTATTTTACATATTTTGAGCATCTGTTATGCGTTAGGTACAATATTATGCAATAGCTAAAAACAAAATAATAAAGTTTCTCCCCATAAAGGATTCGTCCTGAAGCATGTCTGTATCAGTAATTCAGTCCTTTGGAAATAGTGACAAAAACCTTGTTACTTGTAGAATCACCAGAGTCCTGTTTCAGGTTCACAAGATCCCTCTTTTAGCATCAGAGTCCCTAACTTTGTTCTTATATCTCTACCTGTTACTTTGTGATTTCTCTGCTTTATATCTTAACTCTGCTGGTATCTAGAAAACTCTTAGAAACTATGCTTTGTAAATTATTGGGAAAGATATTTGTGAATGCTGGTAAGATCATTTAATATTAAAACTATCACATATGACATCAGTTGTCCACTCAAGAAATATTTGTTGAACACTTACCCTGTATTCCAGATATTATGTTGTTCTGGGAATAACAGTCAGTAAGGAAGATATATGAGGCCTTATAATATCTGTGTGATCTAGTAGATGTTCTGAAATTCAGATTTTTTGCTGTAGGATAATCTGCCCCTGTCCCCTCTGGTAAAAGGTATCATCAGTAGCCTTTTCATTCCTTAGATAGTGATCTGACACCTTCATATACAGCTTTCAGGATTATTTTTAAGTGTATTTCTCCCCTGGTACAGTTAACATATTTTCCTTCTTATTACCAGTACTTTTGATTTTCTTTTTTCAGCCATATCTAAATCTTGCAATTTTGTGTGATTGAAAATAAGATATACTCCGACAAGGCTGAAGATAGCATTTTGAAAATAGATTTAACTGCATTTGTTATCATGAAATTAAGATAGACTCAGAAAGGAAAAACAAATCATTGTGATGGGTAGTTATACCTAAGCTAAAAATAATAGTTACTATGTAATCATTAAGATTTTTGTATATTGGTATTATTTTCTTTAAGTTTAGAATTCCTAAGTGTATTTTACGACAATGTTCGTTTCAAAGGGAAAAACAGTAGCCAAACTTAGTGGTGCCCACCTGTAATCTCAGTACTCAGGAGCCTGAGGCAGGAGGTCAGTATGAGGCCAGCCTGGGCTACATAGTGAATTAAAAGACAGCCTTAACTACATAGCAAGACCCTGTCTCAAAAAATAAAAACAAACAAAAAAAGGAAACAAAACTGGGAGGAGGCACAAAATAATAATTTCATGATTATATAAGTTTATAAAATTGTGGCTTTTCTGTATGATTTTTAGAGCCTTTAATACAATTGTAGGTTATTATAGTAGTTTATATGATAATGTAAATCTGTACTCTGGCAATAGGAGAAACAGATGAAATGAATGGCTAGAGTCGTTAAAGGCTTTGAATCAAATGATTTAACATTTAGTTTATGGGAGGGTAAGGAGAAGGGATAAGTGCAGAGTAATGTCCAGGCTTCCTGTTTGACCAGCCTAGTAGGTAGTGATGACATTAATGGGGAGAAACTCCAGGAAGATCAGACTGGGTAAGAAGATGAAGAAATTCATTTAGATAAATGAAAATTCAAAATTAAGCAGACATTCAAGTGGGCATCTCTAGAAGATAATTAGATAGTTTGTACTCGAGAATTTAAAGATCTCTGAGTCTTAAAGTACTTGGGAAAAATACAGTGAATATCATCTCAGCAGTTAGATAAAGGACAAAGTGGAAAGGGGTAAGGATAGCATTCTGAGAAACACCAACTCTGAGACGAATGACAAAGGAATCTGAGCAGGAAGAACAATAACTAGAAGAATGTGTTTCTTTAAAGGCTGTGGGGTATACATGCACTAATTCCCTACAGTGAATGTGATCATCATGTACTGCAAATATGTACTAATAAAAATAAAAAATTTTAAAAATACATGACCATTATATTTTAAAAACATAAAGGTGTTGGAAGAGGGTGCTTTTATTCTACTAAGATGAATGCAGAAAAAGAGATGTCTATAAATTATGGAGAGTGCATTTTGCTGTGATTTGCTTGTCACTCTATAAGTCAAGCCTAATGAGTATTTCCTATGTCCTTAATAGGCAGAGGAAATTCTGTAAATCCAATAGAGGTAGTAGTAATACTGTCCAGAATTTTTGTGTTGTTTAGAAATGGACTTTTATTCTAACATATAATTGTAAAAAAATCAAAAAGAGAATCCTTCCTTTCCTTAGAACTTGTCTTAGGTTACTAAAATAAGTATTAAAAATTGAGAAGGATTACCCTGAATCATCTTATATTAAGAGGAGAAAATCCAGAAAATTCTGACCTGAAAGAAGACAATTGGATATCTGCTATGAAAAGGCAGTGTCCTAACTCAAACCTATTGATTTCAACTCTTGAATGATAAACTGGAGGGGAAATGAAAAAATACATAACTCAGATCAGTATTATAGGAAAGATCTTCCAAAATATTGTAGTATTTTGAATTTTCATGTCAAAATAAACTAAGTTTAACAAGTACTTCAAGATACTGTTAGTACTAATTTTAGATAGGTCCACAAAGTATTATTATTTCTCCTTTGATACTTAACACTTCACCTTTGATATTTCTACATAGTTGTATGTATCTTTAGTAATGAAAGAATGAATACTTTTAAGCACTCAAGTACCACTGATACTCTACCAGTTTTATAAACACAGATTGGGAAATAACTGTTTCAACTAATTTGATGCTGTTTATCCTGGTTTGATCATTAATTATATTTTGGAAAATTATAATATGCAATGTTACTATATAAGTACATATGTCCAGTTCTTTGGTTCCAGTAAGAGCATTCAGCGGGTTTAGGCATAAATTGAACAGGATAGTTGCTGCTTCCTGTAGCATGTTTTATAAACACATATATTTTCAAACATTTGTAGAGAGAATGCTACTATTTGAAAAATATTTAGAAATTGTTCTGTATGATGAATATCTTTGCAAGATAATTTTTAAACTCTAATGTTTTAATAAAAAGACAAATACATATATTTATAAATATTACCACTGCTTTAAAGAAGCTTTTGTGAAAGTTACACCATTATTTGATTATACTGTGACTTTATAGAGATGTACAATAGTTTCAAAAATGCACCTTTGTCTTCTAAAGTCTATACTGTATACTAAGAAACATGCAGCAGAGTGAATTCATTTTGGTAGGCGCTGTCTTTTTCAAAGTACTGGTAACTTCTAATGACATTTGGCAACATATATTAGATATGCATAAAAATATAAATTCTTGCCGTCTGACATGGGTTTTTCTGGCTTTCTGTGCCTTAATCATTCAATGTTTTGCTCTTGGTCACCTAAACTTTCACCTATTTAATTTTGAGTTTTTCTCAGTTTGTGTTTCAACCAGTTTTTCTATCCCCCTTTCATATTTCTATCACTTTCATGTAGGGCATGTCTGATCTGCAATTTTTCTGTAATATGCCTTAGTACATTTTAAGTGATATTGAAAGCATATATATGTATATGTATTTAACACTTCAAATATATGTATATAGATGCTTTAAAAACAAAAATCATTTACCTAAGGTTTTTAAATAAGACACCATTATGCCATGTAAATCTGTTGCTATGTATAGTCTTATTTAACATAAATTCATTCTGGAAATGTAAATTTTAGAGAAAATGTTTTAACTTTGTTGCACAGAAATGTTTGCAGATCAGCATTGCTGACTACTAAATAACATGTAGTAACATACAGTGTCATCTAATTTTTCGTTGTGCTTCCATGTTGCTGCAGTAAAATTCTGTGCATCAAAATAATTGGCTATCATGTACTAGATGTGATTCAACTATATCTTTAAGTTTTTACTGAATATGTGCAAACTGAGTGAATCCTAATTTTTCCATATTTTTTATAGCTTTGTTGTCTCTGATTAACAACTCACATGATGTTTTTTTCCTATTATTAGTTACAAAAAATTTCATCTTTAAGGTGAATTCTTAACTGTCCTAGTTTTTATGCAGAAGTATGTAACTATCATTTATTAATATCCTTTTCTGACAGAGTCCTTAATTTTCCCAGTTTTACCAAGCAGTACTATCTTTTAGGTCTAAATTTTTTTCATTGGCACAATATTTATGAACTTTAAGCAAAATTTTAGTTAAGACACATGTAGTTAAATTTGGCTCATGATGAAACATTTTAAAGAGTTCAATGAAACAAATTTCCCTAGTATTCATGTTTATCTTATAATCAGAATATGCAGTAACAGGAGAAATCTTTGAGTTTCATTATCCCTGTCAACATGAACAAATCTATTTGAAGGATTGTCAGAACCTTTGAAATATAATAAATTTTATGTAGTGTCCTTCAATAATAATACCCAGTCATTTTAGAAATGATTGAAATGTAAACAGACATTTGCCTTAGAATTACTTTATTTATTTAATTTTTTTTTGGTCTTTTTTGAAATAGGGTTTCGCTATGCAGTCTAGGCTAGCGTTGAACTGACTTTGTAGCCCAGGCTAGCCTCAAACTCGCAGCAGTCCTCCTGCTTCATCTTCCCAAGTGCTGGGATTACAGGCATATGCCACCACTCCCAGCCTTAGAATTATGTTAATTAGAAATTATAAAGGAAACTTTCTATTCGGCTTTAAATGAAAACTAAAAACCTGTAGCTGTTTCTTTTTGGTATTGGGATATGTTTGACCTATCTGTGGTTGTTTTTAGAAAACATGATTATTTGTAAAAAAATTTATAAGTTTCTCAACATTTATTAAATATTTAAACCGTGTTGATTCAATATCTTATAAAGGGATCTATTGTCTAACATGTTTGTATATTGACTTACAGCATTATTCTGGACAATGCATTTAACAATAACTTTTTTAAAATCATGGGGTTTAAAGAATATTTCCTTGGACTTCATCTAATATTTACCTTTCCTCTAAAATTATGTCACCTGAAAACATCTCATTACATTTTCTTACCTTGACTAAGTGGAACAGAAATACCCAGATTACTAATATTTTTATTCACCCACATGAAAATATGCCATAGATCTTATTTTTAGATAGAAGTATTCCTTGTCAGACAGCTAGAGCATTTGATAATAGTCCCCTAAATTCTACTAAAACTATGGAAAACATTCACCAGTTTGCTTGCAAATCAACTCTGCTGCATGCGTTCACAATTTTCATAAAGATTGCATGCCTTCTGTTTTCAATACAAATTGTATTTTTTTTCATACCCATCTTTGCTTTTTATTTTTTTATTTTTGTTTCCCTTTTCTTGGTTGGATGCCTGTATGTGTTTATTCCAAATCCCTGTCCAGTCCTGGAGTTTGAACTACGGAAAGCCAAGGAGACCATTCAGGCCCTCCGAGCCAACCTGACAAAGGCTGCAGGTGGTGTACATAAAACTTTTTTAAGACCTTTTTCTACTTTGCAAATGTAGAAGTAGCTTGGATATTTTTAAATGTAAAATAGTAAAATACTATCTGTATTTTCTTCTACCAGAACATGAAGTTCCTTTACAGGAACGAAAAAATTACAAATCAAGTCCTGAAATTCAGGTGGGTAAATAACAAATCTAAAAGTATCTTCCACATAAAAAAGTTGTAGGCCAAACACTGAAAGAGGAAAAATTACAGTTTTCTATTTGTCTTTCTATTTTGTTTCCAGGAGCCAATCAAACCTCTTGAAAAGAGAGCTCTAAACTTCTTAGTCAATGAATTTTTATTGAAGAATAACTACAAACTTACATCAATAACCTTTTCAGATGAAAATGATGATCAGGTAAAGTTACTTTATTCCCTTTTTAACTTACAGTTTTATTTTCTCTTTTATCTAGTTTTAAAATTTTTTTAGTTAGACCTGTAGTAAAATTAGATAAGGCTATTTGCCGAAAATAATGGTCTCTACCCTGCACAGTTTAATATTCTATTAATTTACACACTTTTGTTTTCCTGTCACTTTTTAGATACTTTTCATTTATTCACAGGTAGATTTTTACAACTTCCCAGTAACTGTAACCAACTCGTATACCCATATATTCATAAATGCGTTTTTTTTATTTCAAAATGTTTACTTGGTAGTATAATACACACTTAGAAATTCAGTTTAACTATAAGAACTTCATCAGTACCACTGTGATAATTAAGATACTACATAACAATAAGAATATTTTGAATGAGAGTAAAATATAAGCTGTATCTTTCTAGTAGAAACTAAGTTTATCCCCTCTCTTTCCCCTATCTTTCTGTTGGTAGTGGGCCAATTCTATTGGTAGGGACCAACTTTAGAAGTTCACTAGTATTATCTTGATAAAATCTAGTATGATTCTGATAAGCAAAGAAATGATAGCTAGTTTTAATGTCATCTCTTAACCCTGAAAATTTTGACAATTTAGTGCTAATAGATTTGTTTGAATATTTGACCTTAGAAAAGTAAGTTTTTTTATTTAAGAATATAGAGGCCACCATTTTATTAATTTTAATGGTGCTAAACATTGAACCCAAGGCTTGCACATCCTAGGCAAGTACCCTACACTCAGAGAGCCATCATTTTAAATGATGTTTATTCCTCTGGTTCATAAAATCTCCCATAGATCTTTTTGCAAAAATAGAATTTCTCTAAGGTAGATAGCAGTGCATTTACTTCCTCAGTTACTTTAATATATTTGGTAAAAATTAATAGTGATAGTCTTCCATTGCTAGTCAATAGGGATACTTTCTGAGACCTGCATTATTAGTGGCTGTAATGTTAGGTGCTAATCTTATGGGACTGCAATGATGTATGAAGTCTAGTTGATTAAAGTGTTACTATATTTGGCTGAGGCAGGAGGACGCTGCAAGTTCCAGACCAGCCTGGGCTACGCAGTGAATTCAAGGCAAGCCTGAACTACATAGCAAGACCCTGTCTCCAAAAAAACAAGTTTCCCACAATGAAAGCTCCAGGTTCAAATGGCTTTACTTATGAATGCTACCAAACATTTAAGGGAAAAGAAGTCCCAGTAATTCACAGACTCTTAGAAATTGGAGGAGGGAAAATATTTTCCATTTTATTCATTGAGGCCTGCTTAATTCTTACATCAAAACCAGAGGCATTACACACAAAAGTATAGATTCATATTCCTCACGAATGTAAATGCAGAAATTCCACAGAACATTTCAGCAAATTAAAGAATATGTAAGAAGGATAATTCATCATGACCAAATGATGTTCATTCTGGAAATGTAAGTTTAATATACAAAAAGCAGTCATTGTAACTCACCGTGTTAAAAAAAAAGAGAGAAAATTGTATTGTCTGACAAGATGCAGAAAAAGCATTTGATTCAATTAGTATCTATGCCATATAAAATCATTAAGGAAATTAGAAATACAGAAGCATTCCCTCAACTGACAAAGGATATTTATGAGAAACCTGTCACTAACATACTTTATAAAGAAATCAAGGATTTCTACTCTTCTTGTAATCAAGACTGTATTGAAGATTTTGGCTAGTGCAGTAAAACAAGAAAAAGGTAATAAAGAGGCATATATTTTAGAAAGCAAGAAATGTGTAATACTGTTTGTTCACTACTAACATGATCTGAGGTTATCTATATAAGAAATTCTAGGGACTGTCCAAAGTTACTTTAGCAAGTGTGTAAGTTACAAGTTCAATACACAAAAATCTACTATATTTTATGCAGGGAACAACTGAAACTTTAAAAATGTTTACATTTATATAAAAACTAGAAAGTAACTTATGGAGAAATCTTAAAGACTTGTACACTGAAACAATAAAATGCGCTGAGAAAAATTAAGACAAATAAATAAAAAGAGATGTTATGCTCATGGATAAGATGTGTTCCATATTGTCAAGGTATTAATTTTTATTTATATTGTTAGTACAATTACAATCAGTATGTTACTGACATTTTTGTACCGAATGATGTGTTTCATTTGCATGGAAATAGAAAGGAACTAGTTTAGCCAGACAGAGCTAAAGAACCTGAACACCTGACTTCAGGTCTTTGAGTTACTCCTGGTACACATAAATCACTGAAACAGAAGAGAGATCACAGTCTCACACATCCGTGATCCCTTGATTTCCCACAGAGTGCAAAGTAAATTCCATACAGAAAAGATCATCTTTTTTACAGATGATGGTGGAACAGTTTGGTATCCATATGCCTCCCAAAATGAAATTCCAACTGTTCCCCATACCATATTCAAAACTCAAAATGGGGCATATACTTTTAATGTATATTCTGTAAATCTGTAAGCCGTCTGAGCAAAAATACAGCTGCAGGGATCATTAGAGTTTTAAAAAATAGACAAAAATTTCTTAACTATGATACTACAAGCAGGATGTTTTCTATCAAATTTGTTGTCTCCAAAATTATTGACTTCTGGTCTCTGAAAGCCACTCAAAACTGAATGAAAAATCAAATCATAGATGAGGTAAAAATATTTACAAGCAGCATCTGGTGTAGAATTTGTTACAGCTCTCAGCTCAATAATAGATTAATCCAGTTTTTAAAAAAGAAACAAAAGATTTAAACACATGCTTCACCAGAGAACTTAGTTGGTAGCAAATATACTCTGAAAAAGATGCTTAACATCTTCAGTGCATTAAAATACCACAATACATTTATTAGAAAGTCTAAGACTGTATGGAGTCTTGACAAAGATATAGAGCAGCTAGAAATCTCACTATTGCTGGTTTGAAGTATAGATAAGTAATACATTTTGGATGGATAATAGATACATGGACATTTGATTACAGTATGTAATAATCATTTAATAATTTTTACAAGTTAAAATTTTTTAGTTCTTATTGTAGGCCTAGTTGTATAATGTGCTGTTTAAATACATTTAATAGGCTTTAATTAATTTATAACAATGATAAGTCTAGAGAGATAGGAATTCCGTATTTAGATCAGATTTTCTCCAAAGCCTACTTTCAGTATTCTTATCTATCTCAGATTTAATGATCAACAGTGGTTCCCATTATTCAAGTAAGTCATGAAACAATTAAAAGTAACACATTTAGAATATTCAAGTGAATATGCAATAGTTGCTCAAAAAAGGTCTTATGGGTAAGCTATAAAAAATTGTAAAACAGTTATAAAAAATTGTAAACATTGAAGAGGATTTTATGAGTAAATTATAGGTAAGTTATAAAATATCAAATTAGTACTGAAGTCTGACATGTGAGGTAATAATAGACTGGTAGAATGGTATTTGTATGCTGTTGAGTCGTTTGGAACTTCATAAAGCTTTTCTAAAAGTGTTTCCTATAGAACTTCAGATACTATATCTTTTTATAATATTAAGTCGTATAGTATTGAATTAGAGGGAGTATTTCAAAACAACTGAAATTCTGAAAATTGCTAGAAGCACTTTTATAATATAAATTATATTCAAACAGCTATAGTAAGAAGACAAGATTAAATTGGTTACTCATCCACTAGAGAGTATGCTGATTTTATATACATATTTTTTGGAATAATAAAGGAAGAAAAAATTTATGCCACCAGTGAGTTTACTTGTAACCTCTAAATAACAGATTCTATCTATGAACTAAGATTTTTCTTAGTCTAGACATGTGTTATGATTTCAAGTAAATATTTGTGCATTATTTAAAACTTTTAAACTTAAGAATTTACATTTTTAATAATAGATTGTGTAACACCTTTACATCTGAGATAATTAAACCTGTTTATCTAGACTGTCAGGAGAATTATAAGAATAATATTAGTGGAAGATGTAAAATAAATTTAAGTATAATTCATACTCACTTGGAGTGTATACTTTGACATTACAACAAAATTATGACTGGTTTTACAGATATTACCAATACTATGAATCTCAAAGTACAAAATAAAATTGTCTCAAAGGTTTTTTTCTCAATATTTTTATCTTTTAGGATTTTGAATTGTGGGATGATGTAGGATTAAACATTCCAAAACCCCCAGACTTATTACAACTTTACCGAGACTTTGGAAACCATCAAGTGACTGGGAAAGATCTTGTAGATGTGGCCAGTGGAGTAGAAGAAGATGAATTAGAGGCTCTTACTCCAATTTTAAGCAACATTCCTCCAACCCTTGAAACTCCTCAGAATTTAGAGGTGAGAAATACAGTTACTAGTCTCATCCATATAAAGTATTTATTAAATTGTATGTAGCCATACTGTGAGATATTGAATTTCTCTTTTTCTCTGGTTTTGATTTTAGAAATCCTTGATAGTACAGAAATTAGAAGATAAAATTAGTTTATTAAATAATGAGAAATGGTCATTGATGGAGCAAATCAGAAGACTTGAAAGGTTAGTACTAGTCATTTCTAAAAAAATCTTAGCTTTTAGAGACACTGGCAAGTTATACAAGTATACAAAACAACATTTCTATTGTAAGGTCTTATTTTTTTCTACATTTCAGTAGTTCTGAAAAAATTTTATAGCTGCTTTATGTGTTTAAAATACTAAAATGCCTTTTTCCCCCAAAAGAAATTATATTATTAAAATTACTGAAATTACATTGTTAAATTAATGTTCTTATAGCTATTTATGTCTTATAATTACAAAATAAGATGTTTTGACTTCTCAGTTTAGCCAGTAACAATAAAATAACTACTTCACATTAATGTGGTACATATTTCCCACTTATTATTTCACTTACTTGTTATAATAATGTTGTGGTTTCATGGAGTTATCCCCATTTTGCAAATGAGAAAAGAAATGTTAAATTGTAAGCTGAAGTAGGGTTAATTAATCCATTTCTGTGTTTCATTGCTAAGAAGTTATAAATGTCTTTTTAGGTATATGAAGCAATGGTGAATATTGCACAGAATCATTAAAGATTTTATAAGACTTACCTTATTGCCAAAATTTTCAAAAATACAGTTTTTCTCTGATAAAAGCTCTTTTGTTTTACAGTGAAATGGACTTCCTCAAAAGTGAACACTTTGCCATCCCAGCAGTTTGTGACTCTGTTCAGCATTCCCTGGATCAGTCTCCCCTTAAAGACTCTGAAGACAGTGGACAGAGTCCAGTAAATAGTTCAGACAAGGAGAAAAATGAGGATATACATCTTTCAGTATCACAAGAAGTTGATTCCACTACTCCTAAAAAGAACTCAGATTCTTTTCCCAGGAGAGAAAAAGAAGGAATGCCATCATCTTCTCCATCAAGTAAAAACACAATTCAGTTTGATAAACCTAATAGGTTAGTTTGCCCCCTATATTTTGAAATACACCTTTAATTATTTAGTGTATTAGAAAGACTTCAGTTCTTATTTGAACTCCTTTCACAGATCAGATGTGTGCATTTTTATATTTGACATGAACTTAACACATAGCAAAGCTCATGCCACAAAAACATGTCACAAAGTAATTACTACATTAAATTACATCAATAAGGAATAACCAGTAAATGGCCTAGGTTCTATGTTAGCTAACTACTTAAGGCAATAAGTAATATGTACTTGCATATCTGTGTGCTATAAACACTTTCCCCCAAGGCTTTTTGTCTTTTTCTCTATTCAGTCATTATCAAACTCAGAAGATGATTTTTGCAGTTGACTGTGGAATATAGGAGATAGTTTTGACTCCAGTTCTTTTTCCTGTGTCTAATTCCATTACTAATACTGTATCATCACATTCTCTTAAATCATTTATTTAATTTTCTAGTAGTATATGTTTACAGTATGATGATTACATTCCTTATAGGGAGTTATACATGTACATAACACATCTTAATTCTTTTATTCCCTTTCCCTCCACTTCCATCCCCTTCCTCTGGTTCTCTTCCCATTTCCAAAAGATTTCACCTTATTTCCTACTGTGTATCCTTTCTTTTGCTCTTTATATTTTGGGTTTCTCATATAAAAGAAACCATGCAATTTTTAAGCTTGTATGTATGGTTTATTTCACTTAAGATTATGGTCTCATGGTACATCCATTTTCCTACAAAAGACTCAAGTTTATCATTTATGGCATATGTGTATAAATACCATACTTTCTTTATCCATTCATCTGTTGATGGAGTTTATAGGATACTTCTAAGTTTATGAATTGTGCTGCTGTAATATGGTATGCATGTGTCACTATAATATAATGTCTTTAGCTCTTCTCAGGAAGATACCTAGAAGGGTAATTGCTGGATCAAGTGGAATTTCTAATTTTAGTTTATTAGGAATCTCCATACTGAGAGTGGTTGTACTAGTTTACATTCCCACCAGCAATGTAGAAGAGTTCTTTTTTTGGCCCAACCTCACTATCATTTTTTATTGTTTGATTCCTGTATGATAGACATTCTTTCTGGATTAAGAAGACACCTCAGTGCTGCTGTTTTAAGTTGCATTTCTTTTTTTTTTTTTTTTGGTTTTTCTCCGATACCAGGAACCGAACTCACGACCTTGCGCTTGCCAGGCAGGCGCTTTGCCGCTGAGCTAAATCCCCAGCCCCCTAAGTTGCATTTCTTTAATGGCCCTATATATTAAACATGTTTTCCTGTGCTTATTGGCCTCTGGTACGTCTTCTGAGAAGTAACTGTTCATTTTACTCGCAGAAAAGGCTGATTAAAGAAGAGAACTGTTATTTATTTGGGCTCACTCTGGTTTTCTAATGTGGGCATTTACAGCAATAAAAATCCCCCCTGGGACTGCTTTCATTGTTTACCATAAGTTCTGATTTGCTCTGTTTCCACTTTGTCTGAAAATAGGATAGCTACTCCTATTTATTTTTGGGTAGCCATTGCACTGCCGATATCTTCAATGAATATAGACACAAAATTGGTTGTGTCTTTTGATTGAGTCTTTTATTTGGGGGCAGGGATCTAATTTTTTTTAGTTCTTTATATATTCTAGATCTTAGTTCCCTGTTAAGGAATAGCTAGCAAAAATTATTTTCCATTTTGTAGGTTGCCACTTTACTCTGTTGTTTTCTTTGCTGTGCAGAAACATCCTAATTTGATACAATCCCATTTACTGTGTTCTATTCTTAGATGTTACCTCTTACACAATTTGGGTTCTGTTCTTAAAGTCCTTACCAACACCTGTGTGTTCAAGAGTTTTACCGATTTTATCTTCCAGCAGATTGTGTTTCTGTTTAACATTTAGATCTATGTTCAATTTTAATTTCATTTTAGTATATAGTGATAGATATAGTGTTAGGTTCAGTCTTCTGTGTGTGGATAGACAGTTTTCTCAACAGCATTTATTAAGGAGGCTATCTTTCCTCCAGCATGTTTTGTCCCCACATCAAAGATCAGATGGTCAAATAAGATCAGATGGTCAAATGTGTCCATGATTGTATCCGCATCTTCTGTTTTTACATGGATCCACATCAGTTTGGGTGCCAATACCATGTTGTTTTGGTGCCAGTACCATGCTGTTTTTAATCATTGTAGCTTTGATACTATAAAGTCTCCTATGTTGCTCTTGTCGCCCAGGATTACTTTTGCCACTGTAATTTCTTCTGGTTCCATGTAAACTTTAGGTTTTTTTTTTAGACCTGTGAGGAATGCTGTAGATATTTTGATTGGGATTGCATTAAATTTATATATCAGTTTTGGAAGTATGGCCATTATGACAATATTTGGTTCTGCCTGTCTAGGAACTGAGGATATCTTTCCATTTTGCACTGTCCTCTTCCATCTCCTTTTCATAATACTGTTTTTACTTTCTTGGTTAGGTTCCTAGATACTTAATTTTTCATGATGTTACTGTGAATGATACTGTTTACCTAACTGTTTCTTGGTCAGTTCATTATAGGCATACAGGAACTTTATTGATATTTATGTGTTGATTTTGTAAGCTGTTACATTGCTGAATTTGGTTGTGAATTCTGGGAGCCTTGGTGGAATTTTTTTGGGTCTTCTAGAGGATCAATAATGATAATTTGACTTCTTCATTGCCCATACATTTCTCATTTATTTCTTTCTCTTGCCTGATTGCTCTGGCTGAGGTTTCAAGAACTATTGAACAGGAGTGTGATAGTAAACAATCTTTGCCTTGCTCCTGATCTTAGAGGTAAATCTTTCAGTTTTTCCCTATTATATATAATATGATGTTGGCCATTGGTTTTGTCATAAATGGTTTTTAGGAGATTCAGATAAGTTTCTTACTGTTTTCTTGTTTTCTTGAGGGTTTTTATCTTGAATGGATGTTGGATTTTGTCCAAGGATTCTTCTGTGTATTTAGATCATTATGTGATTTTTAACCTTGCCTCTTTTTATGTGATTTATTATAATTATCAGTTTGTGTATATTGATCCATCCTTGCATTCTTGGAATGCAGGAGCCTACTTGATCATGATATATGATCTTTTTTTCTCTATGATGATATTTTGCATTTTGTTAGGCATTATCAAGAATTTTTATGTCTATGTTCATTAAAAATATTGGCCTGTCATTCTCTTTTTTAATTAGATACTTTTCTGCTTTGGGAGTCAGGGTAATGGTAACATCCAATAATGATTTTGGCAGTGCTCTTCCCTTTCAATTTCATTAAAGAGTTTCAGGAGTGTTAGCATTAGATCTTCCCTGAAGTTCTTGTAGAAATGAGCAGTGAATGAATCCATTGGATCCTAGGATTTACTTCGTTGCTAGGTTTTTTTGTTGTTGCTTCAATTTCATTAACTGTTAATGCATTGTTTAGGGTTTTTGTATCCTCTTGATTCAGTTTTGGTAATTCACATATACATAGTAATATATCCATTTCTTCTAAATTCTCCAATTCATTGTAGTACAGGTTTTCAAAGTAGTTACTAATAAATAATTTTCTGGATTTTAGCATTGTCCATTGTGATTTCACCTTTTTAAATTATAATTGCATGGATTTGTGTCCTTTTGTGTATGTGTGTGTCTGTGTATGAATGGATGAAGATTTTTCTGTTTTTTTAAAATTCAAACAAAGAGCCGTCTCTTTGATTCATTGATTTCTAGACCTTATGGTATATTGTTGGGTTATTTATTTGGGCTCACTCTGGTTTTCTAATGTGGGCATTTACAGCAATAAAAATCCCCCCTGGGACTGCTTTCATTGTTTACCATAAGTTCTGATTTGCTCTGTTTCCACTTTGTCTGAAAATAGGATAGCTACTCCTATTTATTTTTGGGTAGCCATTGCACTGAATGTTTTCCATCCTTTGATTTTTAGTCTATGAACGTTTCTTTGGGTTAAATATGTTTCTTGCATACATTGAATTTTGTTTCTTAATTCATTCTGCCAGTCTATGTCTTTTGATTGGGGACCATTCCCATTGAGAGTTAATACTAAAAGGTATTGATTTATTCCTGTTATTGAATTATTTTCCTGTTTGACTCCCTTTCTTTTCCTTTTACTTAACTGTTCACCCTACCTCCTGTTATCTCCCTATTACACCTTCTGGCATTGTTAGGTTCTTTGTCTCATAGTAGGATATCCCCCAGATTTAGGGATAGGCTGCTTTGGTAGGCATTAGTTTCTAAAGGTCCTTTTTATCTTGGTAGTATCTTATTTCCCCATCAATTTTAAAAGACAGGGTTGTTTTTTTTTTTATTTTAAAGAGAATAAAAAACAACAAAATAACAGCAGGATATATCAGTTTGAGTTGGCAGTTGTTTGCTTTTAGAGCTTGAAACACTTCTTCCGGACTCTAAAATTTGTGTTGAAAAGTCTGCTTAATTCTAATGGATTTACCTTCATAAGTGATTTATTGCTTTTCTCTTAACAGTTTTTAAGATTTGGTCCTTATGTTGGATTTCTGGGATTTTTCCTATCATGTGTCATGCAGAGATTCTTTTCTCATCAAGGCTGTTAGAAGTTCTGTGTGCCTCATTTACCTATATGTTATATTCTTTCCCCATATTTGGATAGTTTTTGCTATTATTTTGATTAACAGGTTTTTTGTGCCATTTTTGCTCTCTTCTGATTTTTCACTAATTCCATTTAATCTTAAATTACATCATTTCACTAATTCCATTTAATCTTAAATTTGCATCATCTAGCAGCTCTTGGATCCTTTTTTCAAATTCTCTAGTTCTTTTTATGATATCTAAGTAATTGACCACTGATCTCAACCCTGTCTGGTTCTGACATTGTGCACACTGGTCACTTCTGCTGTCCATACTTTCAATAGAATTTATAATCTCCCAGATTTCTTTTTGATACCTTTTCATGGACTTACCTGATCATGTATGTTGTTTAGCTCAGTTAACTCTTTATTATTGTCTTGGGTAAACTCACAGATTTTTTGTTTAAGTCCATTATCTACTTAGGTATATGTTCTTTGAGCTGCTTCACATGCTATGGATTTGTTTTTTAACTCCTTTACTATCATTTCAAGTCATTTGGCTGTGTGGCTTTTCATTTCCCCCCTCTCAATGCCTCATGCGTCAACTTTGGGGGAGTTGAGACTTTTTTGAAGGTAGTTTGTTGCCCAGTTTTCTTATGTTTATTTACTTTTCCCCCTGAGGTTTATGGATTCATTACACTGAAAAGACTTCGCTAGTACAGTATGGAGACCTCTTTACGTAGTGTTTGCTTTTCAGCGATGTAGTCTGGGTGTGGCTAATATAGGCCTTTGCCTCTGTCCTAGGATCCAACGACTTTTGTTAAAGAAAAATGGAAAGGAAAAATGTAGTGTAATTGCCCCAGCACCCAGTTTTCTGGGAATCAGCAGCAATATTATTACTTACACAAAGGCAATCCAGGTATTGCCATAGAGAAAATCGATAACAGCAACAACTGTGGTGCCCTAGCAATAGCAACAAAGTCAGGAACATTAGCATCAAAGACAAACTACAGTGACGTAACACAAAAATGAATAATGTACAACCCCTAGCCATAGAAAAAAGATATATAAATTATAGTATAAACACTAGGACAGGGGCTGGGGATTTAGCTCACTGGCAAAGTGCCTGCCTGGCAAGCGCAAGGTCGTGAGTTCGGTTCCCGGTACCGGAGAAAAACCAAAAAAAAAAAAAAAAAAAAAAAAACAAACACTAGGACAACCCCAACACTGACATGTGAGAAAAATCTACTCAGTGCAACAACTATACTAATAACAATAGAAAACAATTCAGCAATAATAGTGTAGAGTTCTTTTTTTTTTTTTTTTTTTTGTATGGGGAATCAAACTCAGGATCTTGTGCTTGCCAGGCAGGTACTGTGCTGATAAACTATATCCCCAGCCAATAGCATAGAGTTAACTAAATATCTTAAAAGAAAAATAAACCTTAATGATTATACTAGTAAAGATCGAGAGGGGGACACAAAAAGTAAAGTTTGAAAAATTAAGAAATGTAATATGAGAAAAGTAAGATAAAGAATCTCATTAAAGAATAAAAGGAAATTAGTACAAGTACATAAAAGTAACAGAAACAAACCAAAAAAGAAAAAAATGAAGAGGAAAAAAGAAAAAAAAAATTTTTAAAAGGGAAATTCCCTGACCTCAACAAACCAATGAAGAAAAACAAATGTTCAGCCAAAATAATTTCCTCTGCATTTTTGAATGAGTGGTTAATTTCCATTATCTGCAGTCTTGGAGTCCAGCAAGTAACAGTTTTCTCTACCTACCTTTAAGACCCGTGGGTTTATTAAGTACCCACCCTGCTCCACGGTTCCCTCTGTCCACAGAACTCCACGGTTCCCACTGAGCTGTGGCAACCATCCAAGCCCTAGATATGTCCTGGTTCCCACTGATAAATGTGGAAGGCAGTTAGGCTGTTGATGTGTGCTGAATGTAGGCAGCAGGGCATTCAAGCAGACTGCTGGACTGAATATGAGGACTTAAAGACCCAACTGGTCCTGAAAGCCACTTGTCAACCCTGGCTTCTCACCAAAGAGGGCAGTATGTCCTTTCTGGTGTATCCTTTCTGACCTAAGCTTAAACTTTTCAGGGAGTCTGTGTCCATCTTGTACCTTTTCCATGACTGTTCCTGTGACTGTCACTCAGTCATGATGGTAACACTGGAAACCCTGAAGTGAAGTTGTTCTCTAGTTGTTCTGTGCCTCAGTTTTAATTAACCCTTTCCCAAATATCTCCTGTTTGGGCCAGGGATATAGCTCAGCAGCATAAGCGCTTGCCTGGCAAGCCTCAAGTCATGAGTTCGATTCCAGGTACCAAAAACAAAACAAACAAACCAAATTTCTCCTAATTAAGCCCTCTCAAATATGGCCAGCACTATGCTGGATTTTTTTCTCCAACTTTGGCCTGCAGTGTAGGAGTTACTTTCATAGTGAAACTACTTGCTGTTTTTGCAGTTTACAATAACCATGGGCTTTTCTTGGACCTAACAGTGGTGGCACAGTCTGTTGTTTTTCCCTGTAGCTGCCTACATTCTGGGTTTACCTTCTTTCCCTGTGCATTGGGTTCATGCAAGAGCAGGTCATTTGGTTGGATAGTGCTTCTCCTACCCTTTGCCAAAGGGAAACAGAATGTAAAATAAGCTTGAAGCTGCCCAACAGCCACAGCGAAGGTAGGGAGTCCACAGGCATGGAGTTGGCAGGAGTGAACACAGCACTTGTGTGTTTCAGGGTGTCAGGGTCCCCAAGCCTCCTCCAGTTATGAAAACTTGAACACAACAAAGCCATTTACTTGATTTTTATTAGGTTATAGTGCTTGAACTCAGAGATGAATATAGCATGGCCCATACCCTTTGTGTTCATTCTGTTTTTGGAGAATATACATTAAATGATTTTTGAATCTTTTACATAATAATTTGAAAAAATACACTGAAGTAGGGAATATTTACTGAACTCCTCTTACATGAGGTATGATTAAAAATACTATGTGTTTAAACTTACTATAGTAAAAGACATCTTGCCATTAATCTCCCTGAAAATACTCCCCCTCACTTTGCATAGACTTTCTGAAGCAGTTCTGGAAGACTTCTTTCATGAATGTGTCCTTAGTTGTGCTGTGATGGGTAGCTCTGTATCTTGCATCAATTCAAAACATTTACCTCTTGTGGTCCTTTTGACTTTAAGGAACAGCCAGAAGTCATACGGTGCCAGATCCAGTTAATAAGGTGGATGAGGAAACACCTAAATGACTTTACCAGCCTCCCTTTTTTGTTAAATGGGACTTTTTTTTTTTAAACCATATTTTTGATCACACCTTGTAAAGACAAGAAGACTTACAGAACTACTTTAGAATGTGGCAAGAATAACAGTATAAATGTGTTTGAAATGAGGATCTGTGTTTTGAGAGCAGTTAATGGCAATATCTTTTACTGTAATAAATCTTTTGTAATAATTTTTTATTGAAACAGTCACAGTGGGGCTGGGGATTTAGCTCAGCAGCAAAGTGCCTGCCTGGCAAGCGCAAGGTCGTGAGTTTGGTTCCCGGTACCGGAGAAAAACCAAAAAACCAAAAAAAACAAAACAAAACAAAAAAAAAAACCAATCACAATATTTTTCGTTCACCCCTTGTATGTTGGCTTTTTCTCAACTCCTTATTTGTACTAACTTGTTTACATATGTACAGATTTCTTCCTTCTATTAAATTAAGGCATCTTATACCCAGTAGTAGGATATGTTAGAAAAATGAGCTTAGTGTACTTCATAATTAATAATGAAAGGTACTAACTTTTTTTTAAGAAAAACTTTCCATTTATGAATCACCTTTTGTGCCCAATAGATTATGTACATTTTTTTCTTCAGATGTTAAGACATTATGGAGGTTAAAGAATTAAAATAGTGCAGTCTTCAAAGTATTTATTCTAATGTACATAAGGTAAGATCATACAATGTAATGGTGTCTACATATGTAAAGTTCTTTACTGTTTAGAACTTCCATGCATCTTTTCTACTTCTAAGGTACCTTATAGAGATACATAATAAATTCATTCAACTAATTTTTTTTTAGCTCATATTCTGTGCCAGGCAATTTTACAAGAGGAATAGTGGTAAACAAAATACATAGGAATATTCATTATCATTATATATCAGCACCTCCTCAGTTCCTCCCACCAACATACCAAGGCAACCTTTGTAGGTTACCTTTACTAAGCTTTCTGGGATTATAGGAAATTGGGAGTAATTGTGGGGTAGTATTAATGTAGGAATAGGGTTTATTCCTATTGCAACTTACTTTCTCTTTAAATGTCATTGGTAACTCTTATATGTTTTCTCTTGTTCATTCAATATTTTCTTCTAGGAAATTGTCTCCTGCTTTTCATCAAGCACTACTCTCTTTTTGTCGAATGTCAGCAGATAGTCGTTTAGGATCAGAGGTAAATTATACTCAATATTCTCTCAGTTTTAAAACATTCTACTTTGTTTTCCCTTTGCAGTAGTGGAGTTTGAATCCAGGCCCCCTCTCATATGATAGTCAAGCACTGTACCTCTGAGCTATGTCAGCAGCATTTTTTATTTTAATTTGATTAAAATTGCTCAGGCTGGCCTTGAATTTATAATTCTCTTGCCTTAGATGGAATTACAAGCATGTACCACACTTGACATCTACTGTTTTTCTTACTATGTGAGAGCATATATAAGACTATTTAAAATAAAATTCTTACTAAAAGCAATGTTCTAAGACATGGAGCATTTTAAATTTATAAAGAATTAGTTGTTCCTTGGATTAGAGGTTTGTTTATTAATATTAAAGTGACTTTTGTAGTCTCTATTTTTATTATGGTATATCTAATAATAGCATCTTTTTTATATAATTTGGGAAAACAGTTTAAGAGTAGGTTGTTTATATTTTGGTTTTTTTAGTAACTCCATTATTTTTATTTCATTAGAAGTGGTTGTCTTTGTTAGCTGAGTTTGTTAGATCTCTGGTCAGTTTTCCTCAATTCTTTTGTAATTGTTGTAGACTCATTTTGAGAATATACTTGGTTACTGTTTTTCTCCTATAAAACTGTGTCAGCTTCCTTGGTCCCCTCTTCTTGTATACAGTTTCATTATACAAACTACAGTATTACCCTAACCCATGGTTGCAGCTTTGTGAGAGTCTTTTCAAAGACAAAAACAACCACCTGAGGCTGCTCCAATCCTGTATTATCCCTCCTTCTCCCTACAGCTGAAGCCTGAGGTCTCCCTGACTTCACTCTTGTTTTTTACTGGTATTTTATTTTATTTTATTTTATTTTAGTGATAACCTGGATTTAACCCAGGATCTTCACAGTGATCTACATCTCTGATCCATTTTATTTTTGACACAGGGTCTGATAAAGTTGTCAGGATGAGCTTAAAACTCTTGATCCTACTGCTTCAGCCTCCTGAGTAGTAATCCCTCCTTGAGTTGTAGGCATACACCACCACACCTGGTTTATTTTTAAAACATATCTTAATTTTTGGAATGTAGTAATTCTGTATATTTGTGGGGTAAATTGTGACATTTTGACACATTAATACAATGTATAATGGTGGTTCAGGGTAATTGGCATGTTTATCACCTCAGACATTCATTGTTTCTTTGTATGGGGAATATTCAAAATCCTCTTGTTTTTAATTATTAAGTGAATTATTGTCTACTATAGCTTTGCTGCTGTGCTGTAGAGCATTATAAGTTATTCTTCCTTAGGGGAAGAGAAATAGCTCACTGGCAGAGTACTTACTATCACAGGTCAATGGATTTGCTCCCCAGCAATTCAGAAATAAATAAAAGTTATTCTTTCTATCACACTACACCCTTTTTCATAGTATTTTTAATACATTTCTGGCCCACAGAAATGTGGATGCTTTTTGGGGATACTGTGATTGTTACTACAGTAAGCTATAATATTGGGATGTGTGTTTAGAAAAGAGCTTGTAAGGTTATAGCATGGGTTATTTTTGCCTACCATGGTGCACAAGTCCTTTACTGTCGTCATTTATTAATTCTTTACTTTTCTAGGTATCTCGAATTGCGGACAGTGAAAAAAGTGTTATGTTAATGCTTGGACGCTGCCTGCCACACATTGTTCCTAATGTGCTATTGGCAAAGAGGGAGGTAAGATACATAATTGTATTTTCATCCCAGTAATCCCATCATGTAATTCCATCATGTTGTCTATTTTTTGTCATTTTGAAGTTATAGTGTTATATTTTTGTTAAAGTCTGTTACTTGCAATCATATTCTTACTTTTGTGCATGCATCTCTGCTCCTAGAGAATGGTTTTACACCTTTGTCAGGTGAGTTCAGTAAAACTGCATGGTATTCATATTTTTCTAATTTTGCTTAAAGCATTATTAGCTTCTGCAGCACTATTACTGTAGGTCCATTTATGTGCCTTGAACACTGTTTTTTACATTACCAATTGCCTAATTTGTTCTGTTTCTGCTTTTGTTATGATGTGCTTGAGATGTCTATAGAAGTGGTTATTCTTTGTATTGAAAATTAACGGGGACTAATAATGTAATGGCAGCTGCCAATTTTAAATGCAAGTTTGGTAATAAATTACACTTTAATAATGATAGTCATAATATTGACTATAATAACTTAAAAGTATCTTTTAAAATTTTTTTTAGTTAACTTGTTGATAGATTCTTTAATATCAAAGATATAAGTACTGTGTATTTTAGTACACATAGACTGTAAGTCATGAACACTCCAGGAATTATCTTCATAGTTATATTTATAAATTAAACGTTATTATATTTAGCCAATGAAAGATTGTTGAAAAATTATGTGTAATGTCAGTTAAATGACAATGAATAATTTATTTAAAGATAAGTTAAATGCTTTATTTAAATTAATGAGATAAATTTCCACTGGACAAAATTTTTTATTAAAAAAATAATATTTTAAAATATATCACATTTCTAGTATTATTTTCTTAATATTTACCACTGATTTTACTCATAATTTCTGGGACCTACAGTATGATAGGTACATACTGCATTGGCAAAACCCATTTGAAGCTTATCCTTAATTACACATTTAGCACAAGAAATTCATACTGATCCTCAAGAGAGCATATGTTCAACTTTAAAAGGTATTCCTGTAGATATTCTTAATTTTAAAAAGTTTACCAAACTATTACTGATAGTTTATATTATATTATATGGTCTTATATTTATCTAATTATTTTAAAAATACTGAGAAGGTATTAGTATGGGAGCGTTCTATGTCTTGAAGGATCAGTGTCCAATTTCATATTGTTTTGCAGTTCTGCCTGGCAGAATGGTGTTTGAGCATCTTTTCTGTTTTCAGCTTGGAACGTAATCCATGAAATGCATTAATGTTTGCATCCCCTTTACTATGTTTCCTTAATATATTTTTTAAATGTCACAGAAAATGTCATGAGATGCAGTTTTAACTTTTTAAATTTTCCATGTATCATAAAGATTACCACTAAAATCTGATTGTACTGCATGTCGTATTTATAAATTTGCATTATCAGTAATCAGATACATTATATATATATATAGTTTTAGATATATATACACACACATGCACACATACACCTAATGTGCAGTATGTTCTCTGGTTGAGTTTAAATACTTTATTTGAAATTTTGATACAATTTCATGAAGAACTGATCATTTTTCTATTAGTTATTTGTATCTTGTTCAATTTTATCAGCAAATCAACCATTTATAGTAAAACAAAATTTTATTCTCTCAAAATGACATTGAATAATGAAGTGTATCCTTTTTTTGCTTCAAAACAGATCCCTGGGCATAAAAGCACAAAAACCTGGGAACACATGCTTAGAATATGTGAGACCCTGTGTTCAATCGCCAGCAATATACACAAACACAACTAAAAAGACAAAACTTTTTAATTTCATCCGTGTTTCTTAAATTTATTGTTTTTTTTCTTTTTTTTTGGTCTTTTTGAGAAAAAGTTTCACTATGGACTTTAGGCTGGTCTTGAACTCACTTTGTAACCCAGGCTGGCCACAAACTCAGAACAATTCCTCTGACTTAACCTCCTGAGTGCTGGGATTACAGATGTGCACCACCAGGTGTGCCTGACCTTAAATTTATTCTTTTTAGAAAGCCCTTGTTATTGAAAGATTCATATTTTTCTTATTTCTCAAGTTTTATGTACTCCTGTCAGCGTAAGCCTTTTATTGGTATGTAAATACAGTTAAAATGTTCTTGAATAAGCTGATGATCATGTGTAACATCTTAATTATACAAAACACTCGAAATAAGGTATAAAGGTTTTTTGGTTTTTGGTTTTTTGGTTTTTTTTTTTTTTTTTTTTGTACCGGGAATCAAACTCAGGACTTTGCTCTTACCATGGCAGGCTCTTGTGCCACTGAGCTATATCCCCGGCCCCGTTTAAGTTTTAATTAAAACATTCACATATTTTAATATTTTCAAATATAAAAAGATTCGCTATGAAAACTGTCCTTGTTCTCCTATTCTTTAGCTACCATCTCACATAAAATTTTAGTAGGTTCTAGTAAGTCCTTGAACCAATTTTTTTAATTGGTTTATTTGTACTTACATTTTTCAGTTAGAAGAGTTCTTTATGTATTTTGGATATAAACCCTTATCACTATATGATTGACTAACATTTTCTCTCCTATGGATTGTGACTAATATTTTCTCCTCTATGGATTGTCTTTTTACATTCTTCATCCTTTGATGAACCAAATTATTTTTTATTTTTATGACATCTAGTTTATCTGTTTTTTTCTGCTTTTGGTATCAAATATAAAAATTCATTATGAAATCATGGGCCAGAAATAGCTACTTTTATATTTTCTCCTAATAGTTTTATAACTTTAGGTCTTATGGTTAGATCTTTCATCAATTTTGAGTTAATTTTTGTGTACAAAATAAAATAGGATCCAGGACTACAGTATTCTTTACATGTAGCCATGCAGTTGTACTGGCAACGTTGGTTCAAGAGAAAATAAAAACTTCCCATTGACTCCCCATGCCAGTTTTTTCAAAAATTCTGTTAACTATAGATAGTTTGGGTTTATTTCCAGATGTTTATTTTTTGTTCTGTTGGTTTTATACCCACACTGGGATTGAACCCACCGGTACTCTATTGCTGAGCTACATCCCCAGATTTGTTTGTTTATTTCTTTATTTTTGTGGCATGGGGAATTGAACCCAGAGCCTTCACACTGATCTATATCGCCACCCCTTTTATAATTTTTACTTTGAGATAGAGTCTCGCTAAATTGCCCTGGCTGGCCTTTAACTAAAGATATTCTTGCCTCTGCCTTCAGTGTAGCTGGAATTACAGGTGTGAATCACCACAACCGTGTTTTTTATATTACTGTGGTTTGTAGTAGATTTTGAAATTGGGAAATATGAATCTTGAAGTTTTCTTTTTCAGTATTGTTTAATTGTTCCCCTTACAACCCCATATGAATTTAATGCTCAGCTTTTGATTTTTATAAAGGATATCATTGAAATTTTGAAGATTACTGTACTTTGAATTCGTATATTACTTTTGGACTATTACCATCTTACCAATAGTAGTTTTCCACTACATGGACTTACCTAATTTCTTTTAGGCACTTTGTAGTTTTCAGTGTACAAGTCTTTCACTTCTTTGACAAAATTTTTCAGTATTCATTAGTTTGTATGGTACTGTAAATGGAATTGTTCTCTTAATTTCCTATGCATTGTATCGAAACATGAGATACTTGTGTGTTGCTCTTATACCTTCCAACTTTGCTGAATTTTTGTATTACCTCTAGTTTGTTTTTTATGAATTCTGTGCAATTTTTTTAACTTGTGCAGACTCTTTTCTAATTTGAATAGCTTTTATTTTTTCTTCTTCCTTAATTGCTCTGACTAGAAATACGAGTACTTTATTGAATAACTGTGTTTTCAGAAAACAGATATATATCTTTTCTTTTGAAAGCAGATATATTTCTGATTTTTGAAGGAAGACTTTGAGTCTTTTGCCATTGAATATGATGTTGGCTGTTAGGATTTTTTAAAATACACTTAACATGTTAAGGAAATTCCCTTCCATTTCTTGTTTGCTGAGAATTTTTAACCCAAAATGGCATTGAATTTTGTAGTATACTTGTTCTGTGTCTACTGAAATAACATACAATTTTCTCTTAGTTCTATTAATGTGTTATATTATACTGATCAATTTCATTTTGCCAGGGTACAACCTATCAAGTTATGATTTATAACTCTTTAATGTGCTTTTGGACTTGATGTTAGTATTTTATTGAGCATTTTTGTGTCCATCTTCATGAGGGATAGTGGAGTATGGTTTTTTGGTGGTATCTTTGTCTAGTTTGGGTATCAGGGTAAGACTGACCTCATAAAGGGTAAGGCTGACCTCATTCAGTTTTTGAATCAGTTTTAGTATTAATCCTCCTTGAAATTATTTTTCAGAAGTTACCAATACAGCCATCTGGTGATAGACTTTTCTATGTAGGGAAAACTTTGGGTTTGACTCAGTTCTGATTCAGTTTCTAATTCTTTAATGTTTTATCTCCTCACTTCAAACATCTAGTTGTTCACTTTGATTCAGATTCTTTTTAGATGCTTTTTCTTCTCTACTTTCTAGTGTGAACAAACACTAATCTTTTATTTTCAAGGTGTTTTTTTTTTTCAGAATTGAAAATCCTCAGATGATAATGTCTTAGAAAAATTGACAGTACATAAAGATATTTTATGTACAGTGGTGGCTGTAATAAATACAGTGGTGTCTTGGTTCACGAACTCAATGTTCTGCACTATTCTGGTTGCAAACCAAACTGGGTGAAAACTAAACTATATTTCCCCATAAGGTCAACATTGAACCTAACCATTGAAGTTGATTTGGTTCTTGTCCAGCTAATTTGGTTTGCGACGAGAATTATGGAAAGAATCAATTTGGTGAACTGAGGTATGACTGTATTTCTAAAGAGATTTGCTGTGTGTATAGTCTTTATTTTCATTTGAAGTTATTTGCTTTACATGTAAAACTGAAAAAAAAGAGAAAAGATTAAAATGCTAGAAGCTTACCCTGCTGAATTTTGTACAAAATTCCATTGGTAACCTAAGACATGAGGGGTGGGAAATACCTCGAATAGATGAATTAGCTTTGTTATTAAAATAGCAAAAATCAAAATAAGTTAAAGCTAATGTCATTTACTTGAATAAAGTACAAAATGCTAATAAAGTCTTAGAAATTCTACAACAGGATTAGTACACTGCTTTCCTCAATAATAGTCATAGCAAATCAGTTTCATATTTTACTTCAGTACACATTACTGAGTAGTATACATGTTGCTAAAGCATGCTCCAAAATATTAAAGATCCTCATTGCCTTAAAAAAATGAACATATATTTTCTGTTTGCGGGAAAATTAACTTTTGGATTAATGTTACCATTAGAGTTATAACTACCATTGATACTTTTTTTAACCGTGGTTGTTAGTATTATTTTAGTATTATATGAGATATCAAATCTAAAATGCTTAAGGATTTTTTTATGTAAAATCTTCTTAAGTTTTTGCTACTATGCCTTACATTACTACTTTCAATACATTTATGTTTAATTTCACAAAAACATTTTTAAAAGTCTCCTTGCTTTCTGATGAAAATGTAGCCACCACTAAGGGAAGTTTTTCAAAGACTAGATTTCTTTAGCTGAAGAGATGAAGCCAAAGGGCAAAATTGACTCAAATCAATAATCAGAAATACGACTTAATAAATTCTGGAGTGTGGACATATTGGTGCTTTGGAGACTTGAAAGACACAAAGTCACAAGATGATATACAGCACAACAGACATACTTAAAGAATTCATTACTTCAAGAATAGTACGTATAGAGGTTGAAAATAAATCAATGACAGAGAAATTAGGCTATTTGAAGTTGGTTCAGTTGATCTACTAGTGATCCTATTTCTATAAAAATGAGAGTACTCTTTTTAAATTTTTCTGTCATCATTTAGTAGTCCTCTTGGTTCTACGTTGTTGCAAGAGAAAGAGGCCATCTGGCAGAATGGACATACCAATTTTTAACTGCAAGTTTTAAACTAGCCTTAATGTACTAGCTCATATCCAAGTTCTCCTTGGTATGGCGGCGTATCAACCAAAAATTATAAGCAGTGACTTCCTGTGTTGATGATTTTTCTAGGAAGAAAGGAAAACAAATGATCATAGAAGTTATGGCTAATGGTGATTAAGAAGAGTGAAAAAGCCCTGAATCCACAAATTACAGAGCTCAGGGGGACACAGATTAACAAGTGCTTTTCCTCTCATGTGCTGATTTGGATTGGTTGGTAATGGCTACTGGGTTGACATGTGATTTGGCAAGTGCTGTGTTGAGGCTTTCTGAGGCTAACTTTGGTCTCATAAGGAAAACTTGGCAGTAGGAAATTGCAAAATTGTGTGAAGTGTTGTTCATTTCTGCACTAATCTTAATTCCTACGTGTTTCACTTGAGGAAACTAAAAGAGAACTTTTTGCCTTTCCTTAGACTCTTAGATGCTAAGCAGTAAAACTGACCTCTTCAAGTTCCTGGGCCTGTCCATTGTTCTCTGTCTGGCACATTTATAGCCATACTGCAGTTGCAAGTTTCTGTTAATAGATGATATAAACTTCCCCATTGATAGAAGCCACCTAACCTCATGGTAAAGATAATGTAAGGCATAAAGAATAAACAGCAATATAGTTATTTTATTATGCTTGTTTTTTTGAGATAAAAAGAGGTAAAGATTATACTTTGTACTTTAAACTCTGTATATTTGTAGTTATACCAAGTATCTTACATTCATTACATGTTTATCTTTAACGAATAAGAGACTAAGGGCAGAATGTGAAAAAGTAGGATAAGCATGTGTACAGATAATAGGAAAGCAGGAAGAGGGATTAAGAGAAAGCAGGACAACCCTTTGGAGAGGGAGTACTGTATAAGTAAAACTTGTAGAACCTTTCTTGGCTTTCAGTCATTAGTATGATTTCTCCTTTTGTTGGTGTTTCCAAAATAACTCCTTTTTCATCCCTAAAGCTCTGTGCTCAGTAGGATACCTACTCTTCAGTGTCAGTTGACTCTCAACAGCCTAGATGAAATCAACTGAGGCTTTGAATAATCTTTGATATTAATGGTTTTCTACTTTAATAATGTTTTGCTGTGGTGCTGGGGACTGAACTCTTGGCCTTCACACTGAACTATATACTAAATTCTCTTTATTTATTTATTTTTTAATTTTGAGACAGAGTGTTACTAGCTTGCCTATATGTGTGTACCATCATGCTTCACCCTAATATTCTTAAACTTCCAAACAAGATACAACATTTAATACTTTATAAAACTTGTTTGTTCTCTCCTACAAAATCAAAATTGATTCACCACTATTATGTAAGCATGTAGTGAAAATATTAGTTAACAATATAGGATTCGTACATATTCTCTTGTCTCCTATTCCCAGTGCAAAATTATTATTTATTCTTTTCGATTTTTGAGTTTTTGTCTGTTCTGGAAGGTACAGAGGCTTTCATATAGAGAGATTGAAAATGACAGAATAAATGTTTTAAATTTTTTACTTCTCATAGAATTATTTGTAGGCCAGATGTAGTGGCGCACACCTGTAATCCCAGCACTTGGGAGGCTCAGGCAGGAGGATCATTGCAAGTTCGAGGCCAGCCTGGGCTACAAAGTGAGCTCAAGACCAGCCTGAACTGTATAGCGAGACCCTGTCTCAAAAAGACAAAAAAAAAAGACACACACACAAAAAAGGAATTATTTGTAGCTCCTCTTATCTACATCTTTTTACCCTCAAATTTAAAATGTATACCGGATAATTATAATTTTAACATAATATATTTTAGAAATAATGGAAAGGTATTTCTGTCATGCCTTTAAAATTCAGTCTCCAAAAAACAGCACAATCATAAAAAACTCAAAAAAAAAAATTCAGTCTCAGTTTCAAAATTTGTATCATCTGTTTCAAAGAAAGAATCTTCAAAATGAAAAATACTTTTCTCAGTGTAAACTTTTAATCATTTTCTTCAGGTTTATTATGATTAATAATCACACATTATTACATAATAACCAATTCATATTTAATTCCGTTAGAACTTTTTGGTGGATATTGAAGTAAACAGAAAATAGTAAAAGTGTGATCGTTCTTTCCTTGTTTTTATATCCTAGTGATTTTTTTAAAAATATCTGTAAGAACTGTTTTTGTAGTTGAGAAGATTTTTCTCCAAAAATATTTTATCGCTTTTGGACTTTTATCCTCTTTAGCTTTGAAAATCTACTCAAACTTATAAAACATAATACATAAAATATATTATGTAAGAATTTTATCTGTACTTAAAATGCAGAACAAGTTTAATTGCTTTAAAATATTTCTTTGGGGGCTGGGGATTTAGCTCAGCGGCAAAAGCGCCTGCCTGGCAAGCGCAAGGTCATGAGTTCGGTTCC